TCTCTCTCTGGTTTCAGACTCTATCCACTGTCCTCTCTCTCTCTGGTTTCAGACTCTATCCACTGTCCTCTCTCTCTCTCTGGTTTCTACTCTATCCACTGTCCTCTCTCTCTCTCTGGTTTCTGACCTTATCCACTGTCCTCTCTCTCTGGTTTCTGACTCTATCCACTGTCCTCTCTCTCTCTGGTTTCTGACTCTATCCACTGTCCTCTCTCTCTCTGGTTTCTGACTCTATCCACTGTCTCTCTCTCTCTCTGGTTTCTGACTCTATCCACTGTCCTCTCTCTCCCTGGTTTCTGACTCTATCCACTGTCCTCTCTCTCTCTCTCTGGTTTCTGACTCTATCCACTGTCCTCTCTCTCTCTCCTGGTTTCTGACTCTATCCACTGTCCTCTCTCTCTCTCTCTGGTTTCTGACTCTATCCACTGTCCTCTCTCTCTCTGGTTTCAGACTCTATCCACTGTCCTCTCTCTCTCTGGTTTCTGACTCATCCACTGTCCTCTCTCTCTCTGGTTTCTGACTCTATCCACTGTCCTCTCTCTCTCCCTGTTTCTGACTCTATCCACTGTCCTCTCTCTCTCTCTGGTTTCTGACTCTATCCACTGTCCTCTCTCTCTCTCTGGTTTCTGACTCTATCCACTGTCCTCTCTCTCTCTGGTTTCAGACTCTATCCACTGTCCTCTCTCTCTCTCTGGTTTCTGACTCTATCCACTGTCCTCTCTCTCTCTGGTTTCTGACTCTATCCACTGTCCTCTCTCTCTCTGGTTTCTGACTCTATCCACTGTCCTCTCTCTCTCTGGTTTCTGACTCTATCCACTGTCCTCTCTCTCCTGATTTCTGACTCTATCCACTGTCCTCTCTCTCTGGTTTCAGACTCTATCCACTGTCCTCTCTCTCTCTGGTTTCAGACTCTATCCACTGTCCTCTCTCTCTCTGGTTTCTGACTCTATCCACTGTCCTCTCTCTCTCTCTGGTTTCAGACTCTATCCACTGTCCTCTCTCTCCCTGGTTTCAGACTCTATCCACTGTCCTCTCTCTCCCTGGTTTCAGACTCTATCCACTGTCCTCTCTCTCTCTGGTTTCAGACTCTATCCACTGTCCTCTCTCTCTCTGGTTTCTGACTCTATCCACTGTCTCTCTCTCTCTGGTTTCTGACTCTATCCACTGTCCTCTCTCTCTGGTTTCAGACTCTATCCACTGTCCTCTCTCTCTCTGGTTTCAGACTCTATCCACTGTCCTCTCTCTCTCTGGTTTCAGACTCTATCCACTGTCCTCTCTCTCCCTGGTTTCTGACTCTATCCACTGTCCTCTCTCTCCCTGATTTCTGACTCTATCCACTGTCCTCTCTCTCTCTGGTTTCAGACTCTATCCACTGTCCTCTCTCTCCTCTGGTTTCAGACTCTATCCACTGTCTCTCTCTCTCTCTGGTTCAGACTCTATCCACTGTCCTCTCTCTCTCTCTGGTTTCAGACTCTATCCACTGTCCTCTCTCTCTCTGGTTTCAGACTCTATCCACTGTCCTCCTCTCTCTGGTTTCAGACTCTATCCACTGTCCTCTCTCTCCCTGTTTCGACTCTATCCACTGTCCTCTCTCTCCCTGATTTCTGACTCTATCCACTGTCCTCTCTCTCCCTGATTTCTGACTCTATCCACTGTCCTCTCTCTCTCTGGTTTCAGACTCTATCCACTGTCCTCTCTCTCCCTGGTTTCAGACTCTATCCACTGTCCTCTCTCTCTCTGGTTTCAGACTCTATCCACTGTCCTCTCTCTCTCTCTCTGGTTTCTGACTCTATCCACTGTCTCTCTCTCCTCTGATTTCAGACTCTATCCACTGTCCTCTCTCTCTCTGGTTTCTGACTCTATCCCACTGTCCTCTCTCTCTCTCTCTGGTTCTGACTCTATCCACTGTCCTCTCTCTCCCTGATTTCTGACTCTATCCACTGTCCCTCTCTCCCTGTTTCTGACTCTATCCACTGTCCCTCTCTCTCTCTCTGTTTCTGACTCTATCCACTGTCCTCTCTCTCTCCTGGTTTCAGACTCTATCCACTGTCCTCTCTCTCTCTGGTTTCTGACTCTATCCACTGTCCTCTCTCTCTCTCTCTGGTTTCTGACTCTATCCACTGTCCTCTCTCTCCCTGATTTCTGACTCTATCCACTGTCCTATCGCTCAGAAAAAGAAAAAAAAAATCTTAAAGAAAAAGGTGTGTTTCTTTTTTCAGCCAATCCAAAGAACTCTTTTTAGATTCAAGGTCACCAAAGAAATCTGTCCTGGGATGACTAGAAGAAAACAGGAAGTATTATGTCCCGCCTCTCTAACCTCCTGACTCTCTTTGTTTTGGCCTCACTCAGTGGAAACTAGGCCAACAACCCCCCCTGTGCAGCTCCAGGCTTAGACCTGTGCTAGAGTCTGCAGGTATGCAAGAGGTCAACCGAGGTAAAAAGTCCAATGGTCTGTGTATGTGTGTGTTTGTCTAACGGTGTGTGTGTGTGTGCAGACTCTCTGGAGCCAGAGGACTTCACTGTCACTTTAATGGTTGACCCGGGCCCCATTCAAGATCTGATACCCCAAACACCCTGAACCTTCTGTACGGGCTGCAAGAAGCTTCGTTTTTATGTTAATGTGACATATTTGGTTTTTTAAATCAAGGCTTTACCAAACGATACTTTGATTAGCTTTTAGAAACTTGTGGAATAGATGCTGTCCTGCACGTGACGCCATTACTCCGACTGTCTCAGACCACCTACCCTCCAACCAGACTGCTGCCATCCACCCATTTCCAATGATCCTCCGTGTCCCCGTCAGTGATCCCAAACCAGAATGAGTTCCAGTGACCTCTGGGTAGAAGATCCCACAGAAAAGTCTGAGAGGAAAAACACACACACACACACACACACACACAACACACACACACACACACACACACACACACACCACTTTGTAGTAACCACTCTGGCTCGACTGATTCAGCGGCCGTCCCCCGATGTCTCCTCTCTTTTTCTTCTTTGCAATCATTTCATTTTAATCAACAACTGCTCGATGTTTATCGTCTCCAGCTCCAACATGCTGGCTTTCAGTCACCATTAACAAGAAACTGGTGATATAACTACTACTACACGGCCAACACAGACTCACCAATGACTCTAAGTAAGCAGCGCTCATGACGGCTTACTTAGTGAGTATTGATCTGGCTTTAGTCAGCTGAGCTAAGAACATGACACTCAAAGCGTGGACACTTCTTTGAGGACTGTAGCCTCCGCACAGCGCCCCCCATAACTTTTCTTTGATGAGTGTGAGACATTAAAGGCTTAATGTGCTTGATGTCGCCCTTGAGCACCAGCATGAAACTAAAACAACTGGCGGTGCATTGTTGTGTTAGCATGCTAATGCTAGCGATCTTTATTCTGCTGGTATCTTCACACTGCATGTAAATTGACCTGAAATGAGCGTGATCTAGAAACACAGTTAAGCAGTGAGTACAGTATGTTATTCTTCTTTTCTCTAGTCCCGCAATTAAACAACTTTTATACACGAGGGGAGGAGTCAGCCGGCCGTCCCGGCGATGTAAACAAAGTGAAGATAGGACTCTGAAAACTCTGAAAACATCACAGACAGTGGGACTCGGGTGTTACACCCATTGTAGACAGTCATGACTCAGAGTTATTTTCAGAGGAGATACTGGATTTCTACATTTAAGTGTGAAAAATCGAAGATTAAGTCTTTAAAGGAACGAGACCACCTTCATGTGGTGTCATGTTGCATTCAGCTAAGCTGAGTGTTGATGTCAGTCAGGGGACTTTGTGTACCTGCTCCTCAGCGGTGTGGATGATGGCCAGGTAGGCTCCTTTGCTCTCACAGAACGACTTGCTCTCTGGCCAGCTCCTCGTGTTTCTGGAGATGGAGTAACAGCTGTTGTTGAACAGCAGCCAGTCCGGCGGGCAGATGATCGGAGCCTTTGTTGTCGGCCTGACCACGTCAGGAGCTGACCACACACAAAGAGAGAGAGAGAGAGAGAGAGAGGAGGCAACCGGTAAGTAGATCTAAGATATACATCATACTCTGTCAAAGTCACGCTGTGTAGGCGATGAAAGCTGACATATATCTGTAACCGAAGGAACCTTTTGCAGTCGGCTTAGCATCAAGTTTGGCCTGCAGCTCATCCCTCTGTTTCTGCAGCTCATCCCTCTGTTTCTGCAGCTCATCCCTCTCTTTCTGCAGCTCCTCCCTCTCTTTCTGCAGTTTGCTGATGGTGATGGTCAGAGCTGACGCGTTAAAGTCCTGCGTCTGCTTCTGTGCCTCTGCGGTGGCCTCAGCCCCGCCCTGAGATTTGTTTTTATCTGTGGAATAAACAAGAACATTTCAGGTTTATATCAAATGCATCTTTGGTAACATCAGCTAAGCTAATGGTCACGATGACAACGTCTGTCCTTAGTGTATTACTTTAACCTCTGCAGGGCAGACGACACTCTCAATACACCTGAGAATCTTCACTTTAAGATTCTTCTCCCTTCACATGTTGAGCTGGAAGCATTTATTTCATACGCTCTTTAAAAGGAGAAGCAGCTCGTACACACACACACACACACACACACACACACACACACACACACACACACACACACACACGAACCTAACATGTACATCATGTTGGCTAACTGTATTGGCTAACATGCCTGAAGTGTCAACAGTGCAAAGCTCAAACCTCTATATCCTCTTTTTTTTCCTTCTTTTTTTACCTGAATCTGCTCATTCTGCGTTTTTAAACATACTGTTTGTAAATCAGTTTGTTCAGCACGATGATGAGCAGCAGGCGCATTGTGTAACTTCCTCCTTTCTAATGTGGTAAAATATTTAATCATATTAAATAAAGACATAAAGACGTTTAAGACAATTTAGATCTATTAGGAATAGATCACACATTCACACACTGATGGTAGAGGCTGCTGTGTAAAGAGTTCATCAGTATTAACTCATCCATTCACACACTGATGGTAGAGGCTGCTGTGTAAAGAGTTCATCAGTATTAACTCATCCATTCATACACTGATGGTAGAGGCCGCTGAGTAAAGAGTCCGTCAGTATTAACTCATCCATTCATACACATTCACACACTGACGAAGCAGTGGGAGCAATTTGGGGTTAAGTGTCTTGTCCGAGGACACATCGGACATGTGGCTGTAGGAGCTGGTGATCTAACCCCCGACCTACCAGTTGAGATATGGCTGACTCTACCACTGATCCACAGCTGCCCCCCTTGTGCTTCATTACGTGATTTTGAACTTACATAATTCACAAAACCAGGAAAGCACATGAGAGACTTCAGTCAGTGTTTGTACTCACAGTGTGCAGAGACGGCTATGACGGAGATCAGCAGGACGGCACAGAGTGTAGCCAGGCAGATGGTGGCGAGGCGGTACAACCTGGGGCCACTCGGCCTGGGTATTACTCTGACATGGGAGACTGGGTGACCTGGAGGTAGTGAAGTATATTAATACAGATAAAAAATAACATTTTCCACATACTGAATAAGTCTTAAAAAAAGATAGTCACAATGAGCCCTGTAAATGTGAACGTTATCGTCTACTAGGTAATCTTCACTAACTCGTCTCATATCAATGAAAAGATGAAAAGCATTAAACACAGTTACTGGATTCACACTGAGCATAAAATCCCTCTTCAATCAGTGCTGGGGTGCCACAGGGATCTATTCTTGATCCACTCTTATTTACATCCAACAAAAATAAAAAATTACTAACGAGTCAATTCTTTAAGTTCCGTCTTCATGCAGATGATAAAACATTTTAGGCTTCACAACCACCAGGGTCTGGACTCCATGGGGGGTGAATCAGTGACAAATAGAGAAGAGGTGGTTTTGTGATGTAGAGAGAACTTCCTTTATGGCGGCAGAAATCTTAAACTGTTCCTGAAAACGTCTTTAGTTCAACGCTGACTTCTTACAAACACAAACGCCCCAAAGTAACCCCTCACTCCCTCTCTGCTCTGACAGGAGCGATCAGACGATGAGTGAGCTTAATGTTTCTGTGCTCCTGTACAGATAATCAAAAAGCTTCATGGAAAGCTTCATGTATTCATCTTCTGTTTTATGAGCTCCATATACTTCATGTTCACTGACTGATGACTCACTCTTTCTTTATAAACTACAAAAGAACTAGAATCATCAAACAAAGCAGGAGGCAGGGAAGGAAAACATTTTAATGGGTTTGGATGTAAGGCAACCGAGAGTCGGCGGGAAGATCGACTCCACACAAATCAAGAACTGAAAACGTATAAAAACGTTTCTGTCAATACTCGTTTTTTAAGAATATCTGGACCGACTCCTAAGAATATTAAAGATACAATCAGTAAGATGGGTAGTGACTGAAGACCAAAACATTATACATTGTGCAAACAAGATATTCACTTTCTGAAATGTACGGAGCGCTGAATTCACAAAAAAAAAAAATATATATATATATATATATATATATATATATATATATATATATATATCTTGCCCACAAAATAATTATATTAGAAGATAATAAATTGTTTAACATCATTATTTGAGGATAACTTCTGGAAATGATCCTGTGGGCGTAAGATAATATACTGCTCACAAGATATTTACTTGTGCAAACAAGTTTTTTTTTTTGTTGTTGTTTTTTTTTACTTTTTGGGACTTCAGGTCCAAACGTGTTGCTCGCATCAAATGAAATATGTGCATGTAGTTTTCAGTCCATCGTCTGACATGTTGAAGTGAAGTAAATATCAGACTGGATCAACAGGAGATAACAATGATTTAAACACAGAGTGCACAGCTGTGATGAAGAAATACAGATGTTGTTAATCAAGTCTCTCTCTCTCTCTCTCTCTCTCTCTCTCTCTCTCTGGTGAATTCTTACCGCTGTGTCCAACATCTGGCCTGCGGTTGAGCTCGTCGTAAGAGGCTTCGTCGTCTATCAGTTTGGAGTACATCCCGTCGCAGGGCAGAGACCCCCCGGGTGTCGACATCTCAGCGGGAGAGGAACGAGACAGGAGGGGAACTATGAGTGTGGAAAGTTTCAGAGAGGCGCGTATTTCTCCCAGTGAGGCTCCTCCCTGCTCTCCCTGTTTATATCCAGACGGCCCTGAGATGAGCTGACGTCAAGTTTCACACAGGAAGTAGTACCCGTTCCTGTTTTGTGTAGGAAAATAAAAGCTTGTTAAAAGTTTGCTCAAGGTTTCCGGTTGAAAAGCTAAAGCACACATAAACACACACATAAGTGAGAGATAGTCACCTTTAGAAAGTCATCATATTTATAAGTTCCCTTCTTTTTGTTTGTTGTTGTTGTTGTTTTTGTTTAAACTCAATGTCTGAGTCCATGTTGTCTGTGTTTGGTTTGTCTTGCACTTGTAATTGGTTTCCCCTTTTTCCCAATAAAGTTTACAAAACTGTATGTGAGGAATCAGTGAAGTCAATAATAAATCTACGACCACATTACAACGGAAATTATCTCGGAAAACTGAAATGTTTTACGGTTACGTTTTCAAAAAAGGCCAACATTTCGATATCAACTGCCGTGTACGCGAAACAACAAAAAGTCTAAAAACACTGTAGTACACAAACCAGACCAGTAGAGGGCGGTGTGACTTTTAGCTTAACAGCACGTGCATGAGCACATACCAAGGTGTTTAAAACTGAAGCCGATACTGAAGTGTAAAATCCTGCAATTCCTTGAGTGTCCACTAGAGGCCGGCTGCAGAAGCACAGGAAGTCACATACACACCCATTCTAAAAAGCCTGTTTTTACAGCAGAGATGTTTACAGCCTGGTTCAAAAAACCAAATAGGTGTGATTATCTCATGTCTGGATGGACACACACTGTACGGGGGGTGAATGTTTTGATGACTCATCAGTTTTGATTTGATGAAGGATAATTATTCACAATAAGGCGTGTAGTGTCAAAGTGTGAAAAGCCTACTAGATTACTAGATAGTATCAAAGTTTATATTCAGGTATCATGACAACCCTCCTAAGTATATGACGATCTTTAAAGTGTGTTTTAATGTTGTTATTTAAATTTAAATATTTATTTTATTTAAATATAATTATTAATAATATAACCAAAGTTGACTAGATAAAACCCAAACAACAAACTAAACATGGACAGGACACTTGGAAAACACACTAAAGAGCATAGAAAACCAAAAAAAGCAGAATATGGGACCTTTAAGAGAGCAGTTGTTTGTGTTTACTGGTGTATTTGCATTGCGATGTAAGCTGGGTGCGAGTGCTTTGTGTCCGATTACCCTTCATCGATCACTTGTGTCTGGGGGGGTTGGACATGTTTGGGGCGTCTGGCCCACTCCGGCAGTGACAGGTGGTGAGTGTCGCTGACACTAGGCAGTGTGGGATAATGGCTATATACCGTATTGGTCCCAATATAAGACGACCCTGATTATAAGACGTCCCCCGTTTTTCAACACTCACATTTAGAAAAAAAGATTTGCAGACCAGATCTTGTTTTTAGAACTTTTTTTGAAGAACTTAATTTTATTTGAAAATAACAATATTAAAAACACACTGAATTACGGCACTTTTCAAAACAAAGTGTTTCACAAAACTATGTACAGTATGATTCAAAATGAAAATTGATTAACAATCAAGCAATATTATCAACATGTTTTTAACATTTTTAAATAACAGAAGAAATACAGGCAACGTTTTGAACTAAACCGCTAAACTAAAACTCTCCAAACTTCTCCTCCTATGTCTCCTGTTCCTCACACACGTCCTCCGCCCCGCTGTGTTCGCTCTCCTCCCAGAGCGCGTCATCCTCGCTGCCGTCCAAGGCATTAGAGATGCAGCATTTTTTAAAGCCATGGATGATGCTCTGTGAGGAACTGCATCCCATGCCTGCAGGATCCACTCACACAGCAGACGGACTGACGGCTTCTGGATCTTCCTGGTCGGTGTGAGCGCGAGGTTTCCAGACAGGAGCCACTCTGTGTAGTTCTTTCGCAGGTTGTCCTTGAACGGCTTGTTGACCACAACATCCAACACCTGTAGCTGGCTCATCATCCCCCCCGGTATGATCACAAGATCACCGTTCATCGCCCACACCTGACTTTTTACTGGCTCAGTCAGGTGTCAGCGGAACGCATCTAGAACTAGCATGTTCCTCTTCTTCCTCAGTCCCCCGTACCGTCCGCCCCACACAACCTTTAGCCAGTCCACAACAAGCCCTGTCTCCACCCAGCCCATTGATCCCACCAACACTGACTTCTCTCCCTTCTTATTCACTGTCACTGACGTTGTGACGGCATGTCAAAGTAAACGGTCGTCTGATCAGCGTTGTCTATCTGATCCAGAGGGTAGGAGTGCTTCTTCCTCAGCTTAATCACAAAGTGCTGAACTGACAGAAGCTTCTCTCCGAAGTCTAACGGCAGGTGTTGGGCTAAACTTGTTCTCTGTCTCAGTGCCAGTCCATTACGTCGCATCATCCTACGGCACCAGCCGAGGCTGGCTTTGAACTTGTTGATGTTGAGCTCTCTGGTGATTTCCAGGGCCTTAAGTTGAATAACAGCTCTGGTGATGGGCATTCCCTCACTTCTTTTTTCCCTCACATATTCAAAAACTCTCCGGTCAATCTCGCTGAAACGGCCACTTTGAGGACCACGATCGATTTCCGCTGGCTGTCTTTTTGTGCTCGCCATCTTCTTACGTTCCACTCTGTGACCCCGTACTTCTTAGAAGCCTGACAGTTGTTGCTTGACTCGGCTGAATTGACAACCATGATTTTAAAATTAGCATCATAACTCCTCCGCTGCTGTTGATTGACTTGACCTACTTTTGAGCCACTGTTCTCTAAATGATCAGACTGTCTCTCCATCTTTAAACACCGGTAGGCTGGTTGCTAAGGACGCTGGACTGCTTCTTCCTGGAAAACTCATTTGACAGATTTTTGGCACCATCTGGGCCGCAATGTGTATTGACGTTTAAAGAGACAGGCGAACAATTAGAGCTGCGCTCTGAAAACTAGACCCCGAATATAAGACGACCCGACTTTTTCGGACCTATTTCGATGGGGAAAAAGACTGTCTTATATTCGGACCAATACGGTAGTTTACACAAAGGGTTTTTATTCTTTCACTTGAGTGGAAGCATCGGTTTGGCGGTGAGGTCTCATTCACAGAGCTGGGGACCAGCGGGTGTCTTGAGGGCAGTTCTCCTCATGGGGTGTCTTAAAGGGTCCCATATTGGAAATATGTTTGGTGAAGGACAACCTCGATACGATAGAGAACGCTTGTTTACATTGTAACCGTGGTTCTCTGAGTGAAGAGGTTGTCCCTTCACAAAGACACCACTCGGATACGGTGTCAATCAATATAAATCACAGGAGCATGCGTACACGGGCCTTTTATACTCTTGCATGCAGCCATGGGAGTGGTGTGTCTTAAAGATTTTGTCAGATGTCCTGAATTGAATCAATTCCCATATTGGAAATATGTTTGGTGAAGGGAGAGAACCAAGATTACAATGTAACCAAGCGTTTGACAAAGTGACCTTGGTTGTCATGGTAACAGTCACCCCTGTCAGTGCAGCTGTAACTGCTTTGAGACCCAGGTAGTGAGCTACAGTAAGTTAGAGCAGAGGTAACTCTGAACCCCGGAGAGTGACCCTGAGTGTGACCCACTATAAGACTGCATCAGTAACTGGAGATGTTTGTACGTCCACACAGATTTCATCACAGCTGTCACTAAATAAACACCAGCTAGACACTTTGTCAAAGTTACATTTAGTTTGTACATATTGTCCAACGTTAACATGATCAACAGAGAGAAATGACAACAGATTTATTTACTAACATCCAGAAATTAATTCATATAAACCAACACATGATCAATATTTCTGAAGACGGTTTGGAATCTGGGAAATTACAGTGAAGAATAATCCAAATTTTCAGACATTTAAAAGACAAAATAAATAACTTGTAATACTAAAAGAATAAGAGAGTGGTATCCAAGGGTTTTTCCACCTTTGACAACAGTGCTTGTTTCATTCTTTAACAGTAAAGTTTCCTCTCCTGTGACAGTTTCTGTGTGCCTCCCTCGTGAACATAACTCCAGCTGATTGTGTAACTACAACGAGAGCAGCAGAGTAGTTTCTGCTGTTAAATCTCAAAAGTCTTCAGATTTTACAACTAACTGAAATTCTCTAGTCTCCCTCCAATCATCTCCCTCAGGTTCAGAAGAGTCCTCAGTCTTGACATCAGTCTGTGATTGTACATGTCTCTCTGGGTCTGAGTTCCTGGCTTGTTCTGGTTCTCCACAGTCCTCTCCATCAGTTCTTGTTTCTGACTCTCTGTTTAGCTCAGTTTGGTTCTCATGAGTCTCTGAAGCATGACAGCCAACACGCATGTGTCTCTGTAATTGGAAAGGCCAAGAGAATCTTTGGTCACATATTCTGCAGCTGAAGGGTTTCTCCCCTCTGTGATGAGCCATGTGGAGTGTAAGGCTATGCTTTTGATTAAATGTTTTGTTGCACTCGGAGCAACTGAACGGTTTCTCATCTGAATGTATTATCATGTGTCTGGTCAGAGATCTTTTACATGTGAATCCGTTCCCACACTCAGAGCAGCTGAAGCGTTTCTGTTCAAAGTGATTTTTCATGTGTGTGGTCAAATTATGTTTCTTATTGAATGTCTTACCACACTCAGAACAGCTATGTATCTGTATGATCTTAGCTTCTATGTTTTCCACAGAGTTTAAACCTGACTCATGTTCTCTGTTCTCCTTCCAATCAACATTAAAGTCTTCAGTCTCAGGTTCAGAAGAGTCCTCAATCTTGACCTGAATCTCTGGATATAAATATCTCTCTGAATTCGAGTTGGTGACTTGTTCTGATCCTCCACAGTCCTCTCCATCAGCTCCTGTTTCTGCCTCTCTGTTTAGCTCAGTTTGGATTTGATTGGGTTCTGAAGCCTGACCACCAACACACTTGTGTCTTTTTAACTGAAAAGTCCACATGAATCTCTTGTCACAAACAGTGCAGCTGAAGGGTTTCTTACCTCTGTGACGTGCCAGGTGAACTTTCAGATGAGACTTCTGTTTAAATGTTTTAACACATATAGAGCAGCTAAAGGGTTTCTCTCCAGTGTGAATTCTCATGTGCCTGGTCATATTTGCTGTACTGCTAAATCTTTTGCCGCAGACAGAACAACTCAACGACTTCTCTCCTCTGTGAGTCATCATATGTGCAGTTAGACCTCCTTTACAGTTAAATCTTCTACCACACTCAGAGCAGCTGAGGAGTTTCTCTTCATCATGGTATCCCATGTGAGATGCAAGATAAGATCGTCGGCTGAATTTTTTGCCACACTCAGAGCAACTGACTGGTTTCTCTCCTCTGTGCTTTACCATGTGTCTGGTCAGACTTTTCTTATAGATAAATTTTTCACCACACTCAGAACAACTGAACGTTTTTTCTGCAGTGTGAATTCTCATGTGTCGGGTTACGCTAGCTTTTGTTTTGAATGTTTTACCACACTGAGAGCAGTTAATAATTTTCTCCTCAGTCTTTGGTCCCTTATCTTTAATTCTGTCCACAGAGTTCAAACCTTCAGTCTTGACATCAGTCTGTGTTTGTAAACGTCTCTCTGGATCTGAGTTCCTGGCTTGTTCTGGTCCTCCACAGTCCTCTCCTGTTTCTGCTTCTCTGTTTAGCTCAGTTTGGTTCTCATGAGTCTCTGAAGAAGGACAGCCAACACGAGTGTGTCTCTGTAACTGGAAAGGCCAAGAGAATCTTTGGTCACAAACGCTGCAGCTGAAGGGTTTCTCCCCTCTGTGATGAGCCATGTGAATTGTTAGACACTCCTTTTGATTAAATCTTTTACTACACACGGGGCAACTGAATGGTTTCTCTCCTGAATGGAGTATCATGTGTCTGGTCAGAGATCCTTTACGGGAAAACCTTTTACCACACTCAGAGCAGCTGAAGCGTTTCTGATCAGTGTGATATTTCATGTGTGTGGTCAAATACCTTTTCTTTTTGAATGTTTTGCCACACTTAGAGCAGCAGAGTGATTTAATATCACTTTCTGTTATATTGTCTTCTATGTTGTCCACAGTGTGGACACCTGACTCATGTTCTTTGATCTCTGTCCAATCATCATAAATATCATCAGTCTCAGGTTCAGAAAAGTCTTCAGTCTTGACCTCAATCTCTGGATGTAAATGTCTCTCTGGATCGGAGTTCCTTGCTCCCTCTTGTTCTTCCTCTCTGTTTAGATCAGTTTGGTGTGTCTCTGAAGCCTGACCACCAAAGCACTTGTGTCTTTTTAACTGAAAGGTCCAAATGAATCTCTTGTCACAAACAACGCAGCTGAAGGGTTTCTCCCCTCTGTGACGTGCCATGTGAACTTTCATATGAGACTTTTGTTGAAATGTTTTACCACATTCGGAGCAGCTAAAAGGTTTCTCTCCCGTATGAATTCTCATATGTCTGGTCATGTCTGCCTTACGGCTAAATCTTTTACTGCACTCAGAGCAAGTAAGTAGTTCTCTCCTCTGTGTATTCTCATGTGTTCATTCAGATGTCCTTTATTTTTGAACATTTTACCACACTCAGAGCACCTGTGGGACTTCTTAATCAACATTTTTCTTCTATCTTTAATGTTTTCCATGTTAGAGTTTGAACCTGACTGATGTTCTCTGGTCCCCTTCCAATCATCACTGTCATCAGTCTCATGCTCAGAGAAGTCTTCAGTCTTGACCTCAATCTCTGGATGTACATGTCTCTCTGGGTCTGAGTTGCTGGCTTGTTCTGGTCCTCCACAGTTCTCTCCATCAGCTCCTGTTTCTGCCTCTCTGTTTAGCTCAGTTTGGTTCTCATGAGGCTCTGAAGCAGAACAGCCAACACACTTGTGTCTTTTTAACTGAGTACACCAAGAGAATCTTTGATCACAAACACTGCACTTAAAGGGTTTCTCTCCTGAGTGAATTCTCTTGTGTCTGGTCATATTTACTTTACGACAAAATCTTTTACTGCACTCAGAGCAACTGAGTAGTTTCTCTCCACTGTGTATTCTCATGTGATCGGTCACATGACCTTTCCTTTCAAATGTTTTACCACACTCAGAGCAGCTTTTTGATTTCCCATCAGTTTTCAGTCTGTTTAGCACAGACTTTAAATCAGATGTATGTTCTCTGGTCTCCTTCCAATCATCACCATCTTCAGTCTCAGGTTCAGATGAGTCTTCAATCTGGACCTCGATCTCTGGATATAAACCTCTCTCTGGATCTGAGTCCCCTCTGGTTCTGGTCCTCCACAGTCCTCTCCATCAGCTCCTGTTTCCATCTCTTCAGTGTGTCTGTGATGAAGCTGTGAGGACTGAGGTTTCTCTTCATCATCTTCACTCTTCACAGAGACAGGAGTGAAGGGGAACTTGATATCAGCCTCCTCCAGTCCCTCCTGACTGCTCCACAGTTCCTCCTGTTCCTCTTTAATGTGCACAGTCTCAGAGTCCTCCTGGTCCAGACTGGAGCTCCCCTCCTGCTGCTCATGAGGATCTTCTTCACCCACCGACAGCTGCTGGACGTCTGCAGGAAACACTGAAATAAAGAAACAGATAAGAAAGCCATGAGTTTAAGAGAAAACAAAACGTTATTGACCTTTGACAGTTTCATGTGTCTGATGTATAAATGATCCATGGTCATGCAGCCCCACTTAAACAATGTGTGTCACTATTGAGGAACAATGCAGGGGACAGCAGGGCTTCAGCAAGTGGTGACTGTTCAGGTAAATACAAGAAAACTGTTTTGGACAATCAGCCTTTTCAGTGAAAACAAGAGAAAAGTGGAACTCCCTGGGATCAACAAACAAACGATACATGTCTGTAAGAACTCTGCAGCCCTGCAGCCCACCACCAGCAGGGAGAGGCACGTGTTGGGGGCGGGGGGCAGTGTGCACGAATTCCCAGCAACGTAGACTGCTTCTTGGGTCATTGGAATGTCACCGTTGTGGCGGTAAAGGAACCAGAGTTGGTGCAGAAGGTGTAGCACTAGCAGCTATTTATCATTGGGTTCACCGAAACGCACAGTGTGGAAACAACACGATGCTAAAGACTCTCATTACTCACAGGTAGCTCGAGTTGAACACTTCATGTGTTATCACAGCTGATTTACTGTTCTGATGAAGCTCCATGAGACTCATTATAACACCAGAGAAGAGTCACTGAAGACTTTGAAAGTCCAGAAACAGTAAACAGCTGAGTGATCGGGGGCTAGCTGCGGCTAACACTGTGCTGTGTGTGGATGCTAACGTTAGCTAAAGGCTCAGCTGCTACATTTACAGGAAACTCAAACAAACCAACAAACCAACAAACCAACAAACCAACAAACCAACAACCAACAAACCAACCTGCTCTGTGCAGCTTGAGTTCAAGGTCCTGAAACCCGGACATCTGACAAACACAGCCGAGAGTGAGAGAAGAAGAAGAAAACACTCCTCGGAGCTCCTTCTGTGTTCGCTAGCTCATCCACACATGCTAACTGTGCTAGAGCCACAGAGACGAGAACCGGAAACAAAAACACTACATCCGGGGTACTCTTTTGGAGTTATATTCGGCGTTACTCGTAAAATGTAGTCGAGGTACAGACAGAAGTTTGGATACTGAAAACTATTTACAATAATATTTACTTTTTATTATAATGCCTTTTAAATGACTAACAACAACGGATAAATATAAACAGACCAATCAGTGAGCTGTGTAGAGAGTGAGATGATAAAGGTATCTTACTCTCTGATCATTAAAGGTCCAATCAGTGAGCTGTGTAGAGAGTGAGCTGATAAAGGTATCTTACTCTCTGATCATTAAAGGTCCAATCAGTGAGCTGTGTAGAGAGTGAGATGATAAAGGTATCTTACTCTCTGATCATTAAAGGACCAATCAGTGAGCTGTGTAGAGAGTGAGATGATAAAGGTATCTTACTCTCTGATCATTAAGGAAACATGTTATGTTGAAGTGCTGGCTTCTCTGACAACAATGCAGCAGCCAGTATGTCCTCCTTCTAACTTCAGATTCTGCTCCTGAATGCTCTGGATTTGTTTGGACCAGAGAAGGTAGGCGCTTTTAAGACACGCCCCCCACACGGCCGTTTTGGACGCCCCTCAGTTTGTCAGATGTGAGAGCAGTTATCAGGTCAACAGGTGTTGCAGTGATGGAAGCGGTCAAGAGAAGTGGTTCAGATAGAAGTGATTGTACCCGACTGTTATATATATTACGAATCAGGGGCAAACTATAAGGAGCGGGGGTCTCATTTATAACCGTCGCGTACGCACAAAACGGGGTCTGAAACTGGCGTACGCCTTTTCCCACGCAAAGTTTGTGATCTATAAAAACAAACCTGACGGTAAAATGTGCTCACCAGTAAGCAAACTGTGACCCAGGCGTACGTTCATTTTGGAGTCAGGGGAAATCATCGACACAGACGGTGAAGTGGTGAATTGAAGCCTGCAGATACATATTGATGTCTCTAACACTAAAGATCAAACTTTACTGACAGATCCACGTCATCAGAATCATTCAAACCGATGGTTTTATTTAGGCTATAATCACTCATGTAGTGAGCCGTTTCCGATAAGTCACTTTCATTATGACAATATATAAACATAAAATAAATAAATAAAAGTCCTTCCTATATTTCATCAGCGTCGTCTCGCCTTCATTATCCCAGACGGACCTCAGAGGACCGGACGTGTACACTAATGTAATCACTGATGTAGAGTTAAACATTAGACTAACACAGAGACCACAGAGCCAACAGATTTCATTCATATATTTAAATATCGAGCATTTATCATCAAGTGTGGTTTTTAGTTTTAATAAAGATGACTGCATCAAGACGCACAGAGACACGGCGGTGGCTTCACACATTTCACCTCCTCCACTCAGCATGTCTTCATCAGCTGCACGTATTTATTCTGTAAATAATTCAAGTGTGGACATTAAGTCAGGTCATCTCTGACACCATCATTAGGTCTCTAAATCCTCATAATGAGTCACAGAGCAGACCGAGTTTACCACGAAAGAAACGACCAACAATCAAACGTTTTTGTTCGTTGATCAAACCTTTGATTACTAATATGATCACTGACGGGAGCACTCTGACAATATGAAGAAGACAGTGTGGGTCCTGTAAACATGTAAACATGTACACATGTACACATGTAAACATGTACACATGTACACATGTAAACATGTAAACATGTACACATGTACACATGTACACATGTAAACATGTAGACATGTAAACATGTAAACATGTACACATGTACACATGTACACATGTAAACATGTAAACATGTACACATGTACACATGTAAACATGTAGACATGTAAACATGTAAACATGTAAACATGTACACATGTACACATGTAAACATGTAAACATGTACACATGTAAACATGTAGACATGTAAACATGTAAACATGTAAACATGTAGACATGTAGACATGTAAACATGTAAACATGTAAACATGTAGACATGTAAACATGTACACATGTAAACATGTAGACATGTAAACATGTAAACATGTAAACATGTAGACATGTAAACATGTACACATGTAAACATGTACACATGTACACATGTACACATGTAAACATGTAAACATGTACACATGTACACATGTAAACATGTAAACATGTACACATGTAAACATGTAGACATGTAAACATGTAAACATGTAAACATGTAGACATGTAGACATGTAAACATGTAAACATGTAAACATGTAGACATGTAAACATGTACACATGTAAACATGTAGACATGTAAACATGTAAACATGTAAACATGTAGACATGTAAACATGTACACATGTAAACATGTACACATGTACACATGTACACATGTAAACATGTAAACATGTACACATGTACACATGTACACATGTAAACATGTACACATGTACACATGTACACATGTAAACATGTAGACATGTAGACATGTAAACATGTAAACATGTACACATGTAAACATGTAAACATGTAAACATGTACACATGTACACATGTACACATGTAAACATGTACACATGTATACATGTACACATGTAAACATGTACACATGTAAACATGTAAACATTGCAGATATACTCGTGCGTAATGATGAACGGTGGATGTTTTGGCGCTGTAGGAGGACAGGGTGAATGCAGCAGCGACATGGTGTCACTCTCTGATTGGGTGAATGCAGCAGCGACGTGGTGTCACTCTCTGATTGGGTGAATGCAGCAGCGACGTGGTGTCACTCTCTGATTGGGTGAATGCAGCAGCGACGTGGTGTCACTCTGATTGGGTGAATGCAGCAGCGACGTGGTGTCACTCTCTGATTGGGTGAATGCAGCAGCGACATGGTGTCACTCTCTGATTGGGTGAATGCAGCAGCGACATGGTGTCACTCTCTGATTGGGTGAATGCAGCAGCGACGTGGTGTCACTCTCTGATTGGGTGAATGCAGCAGCGACGTGGTGTCACTCTCTGATTGGGTGAATGCAGCAGCGACGTGGTGTCACTCTGATTGGGTGAATGCAGCAGCGACGTGGTGTCACTCTCTGATTGGGTGAATGCAGCAGCGACGTGGTGTCACTCTCTGATTGGGTGAATGCAGCAGCGACGTGGTGTCACTCTGATTGGGTGAATGTAGCAGCGACGTGGTGTCACTCTGATTGGGTGAATGTAGCAGCGACGTGGTGTCACTCTGATTGGGTGAATGCAGCAGCGACGTGGTGTCACTCTCTGATTGGGTGAATGCAGCAGCGACATGGTGTCACTCTCTGATTGGGTGAATGCAGCAGCGACATGGTGTCACTCTCTGATTGGGTGAATGCAGCAGCGACGTGGTGTCACTCTGATTGGGTGAATGCAGCAGCGACGTGGTGTCACTCTGATTGGGTGAATGTAGCAGCGACGTGGTGTCACTCTGATTGGGTGAATGCAGCAGCGACGTGGTGTCACTCTCTGATTGGGTGAATGCAGCAGCGACGTGGTGTCACTCTCTGATTGGGTGAATGCAGCAGCGACGTGGTGTCACTCTCTGATTGGGTGAATGTAGCAGCGACGTGGTGTCACTCTCTGATTGGGTGAATGTAGCAGCGACGTGGTGTCACTCTCTGATTGGGTGAATGCAGCAGCGACGTGGTGTCACTCTCTGATTGGGTGAATGCAGCAGCGACGTGGTGTCACTCTCTGATTGGTCTTCAGTTTGTGATCCTCCTGCTGCAGTAAACTATCCATATGTCCATTTCATCCTTCACTTCATTCAC